ATTAATGTATAAAGTGATAAAAAAAAATATACTTGATCTAATGATGGTTCTACAGCACCAGCATGCCTAAGTAATTCTGGAGGTTCTGCATCAAAACTCATATCACCAAATCCTTGATCATGTGTAACCAAAGCTAAACTTCCATAATCTTCTCTCATAGTGATCTCCTCTGCACGTGACTGATTTAAACTAAATTGTGCTTCAATATCAACATCTCTAAAATAAAAAATTAATATTAAATAATATTTATAATTTAAAATAACTTTGTATTTTTATAAAATTTTATAATTTTATAAGTTATAAAATTTATAATAAGTTTAATTAATAAATTATTTAATTATTTATTTAATTATTAAATTGAATATATATATTTACTTTAATTCTGGCATTGCTGTATCAAAATCATGAAATACTTCTGGTAATGTTATAGCTGTTACAGCAGCTTCTCTATGTTCTTCCGGTAAATCTACCATACCAGGCCTAAAGGCCATCTTTATTTTAACAAAAGCTTCATTACAGTCAGCTAAGAGATATTTAGCTTTTCTTGAATATATGCGTACTACACCCAATAATAAATGACCAGATGTTCTTAAAGCCATTTTTACCTATATCAATTAAATAAAAAAAAAAAGGAATTGTTACATTTAATGTAGTCTATTAAAATAAGTTTATCAATAAATTTATTAAAATATATTCTATTTTAAAAGATATTATATAATCTTGAAAAATATAAAAATATAAATTACTATAAATCAAAAATAACAATAAGAATGTTATAAATTTGAATTTATACATATGAATAAAAATAATAGATTAATTAAAATAGATTTATTTTACAAATACCTTTGGCTGTAATATACCATCCACAGATTTTTCAATATTTGTTTCAAATACATGAGCTTTTGTCAATTTTTTGTCCCAATGAGCAGCTAACCAAATACGCGCTAATGGGCCTTTCTTGGCCAATACGAAATGTGCATAAAACATTTTTAATTTATGTTATATGCACTTCTACAAATAAAGTAATATCATATTAATAAAATTTATTAAAAAAGTTTCATATTGTTTGTAAACACAAAGCCTAACAGAATTATTTCGTTAATATGAATTTTCGTTAGCAACATAATTATCACCTTATAATGATAAAATCAATTGATGTGTCAATTGATGTATAAAGTTAGCATTTTTAACATTTATAAATATTCAAATTGAGTCGTGAGACTCGAACAAATAATAATCATGTAATTTTTCTTAATTTACTAAAATATCAACATCTTTGCACAAGATGGCGTTTCTATCTACAATTTTGGCGGTTACGCGTAACTATGTTGTACACGTAGTATGTTTTATTTACTTCCACATAAGATGTATTGCGATGATGTTATCGATAAATCTTAAATTATTATATTTTATATAAACTATCATATATAATTATTATATTATAAAATCGTTAGCACATACGGTATGTTTCTTTTCAGCGCGTCTTCACAAGAACCTGCAACTAATTTCACTGAACGTTCCAAAACTTATTCCACTGATGATAGATATTTGTATTCGTAAATCTACAAAAGTTTGTTCTTTGAAATCTATATTTATATTTTGATAGAAATTAAATATCTATCAAATATTTCAATAATTGGATATTTATCTTTGTAGTTTTTTATAAAATATAGATATACTAATATTGAAAAATAAATTAATAAAAAATTATATTATACCATTATTTTGTTAATATTAAAAAAATTATTAAAATTTTAATTTTTACCAATAGCATTGAGAATTTTAAATTATTTTTTTAAAAATATTTGTTTGTTATAAAATATAATTTATAAATATTAATGCTTATATTTAATTTATTTAAAAATATGATAAACATTATTTGAATAAAGTTAAATTTAAAAAAATAAAGAATATATTTTTAAAAAAATCATTATTTTATCATAAAAGTATTATTATAATTTATGTGATTACAAAGTATCAAATATTTTGAATAGTAATAATGATAACTTCTAATCATAATTTAAAATAAAAATTTTTGCTTTATAATTTGATATTTTAAAAATTCGCTTTAAATAAAATAGTATTATTGTATAAAGATTAGTAGTGAGGTTGATGTCAATTATTAACCAAATAAAAAAATTTGATAATTTAATCAATTTTTTTCGATTCTTTTTTAAATATATATATATGAAAGTTTTAATCATTTCTGTTTAAATAATTCTGTTTTTTTTAAATCAAAGATAAAACACAATTTAAGTTACAGAGATGTACAGTTCCTTTCTTGTTATATTAGGAAGTCAATAAAATGGGAAAAGTATATTCTCTACTTCTACGACCAATTCGTACATTTAATATTGAAAATAATGCACAACGAATTATTTCAAAAGATAAACCAGTGCCTGCTCCTTCATATTCGTCAGTAAAGAAACAAAAGAAGCTCGTAGATAAATGTATGTTGTTTCTTAATGTTTTTACTTCAATTTTTAATTTTAATTTTTTATTTTTTAAATAAATATTCTTATCAAAAAAGAATTCTTATTCAAAAAGAAAATAAACTATTAAAAATTATAGAATGTATATTTTATTAACATTCTATGTTTCAATTAAAATTTAATATCAATTATATTTATTTATTATATATGATTTTAAATAAAAATTAAATCTTAATTATTTAAGATTTGATTTGTTTTCTATTTAAATATTTTACTTTTTAAAAATTTGATTATTATTATATAATATTAATTTATTTGTAAAAATTTCTTTTTATTTTAGTAAAACCTGATTTTATGGAAATTCATTATAAGAAGGATTCTCAATTAGATGACCGTTTAAAAAATGTTTTTGTTAAATCAAAAGATCTACAGGTATTTTATTTGGAAATGTTATATCCATCCGTTGTTGTGTCCATATGATGTAATTATATACTTATAAAAATATCAATAAAAAACAGTTTTCTTTTAAATTTTTATTTTAAGGATATACCAAAACAAAATACATCCAAATTACTACAAGATAAAAGTCAACGTTCTTCAGAAGACTATGATTTTAAAACTTATGAGGGTAAATGTAATATAAAACAAATTATGCATTTCATGAATATGCACTATGAAGATCCTATAGAATATTCTATAGAAAAAATATCTCAACAATACAAAGTAGATAAACAAATAATAGGTAAATATATTATTATTATATAAGATGTATTATTCTTATTTTTAAACAAATATATATACATGTGTTTAAAATCATGATATATTGTTATTATAAAAGTAATGTAATTTATGAATATATTATAATTTATTTTGAAGTGCTTGTAAACAAAGTGTTTTTTATTTGAATTTTATATTCTTTTTATTTGAATTTGAAAATATATCTATTTTAATTAACTATATAATGTTAATTTGTTTCAGAAAATATTTTAACATATTTTAAAATTTTACATTGTGTAGCAGATGCTGAACAATTGAAATTAAATGATGGTAAGAAAAAATAACAATTTTATTTTATAATAAAATTTAAATAAACTTATAACCATGTAAATAGTATAAATAAATATTAATTCATTAAAAATATACTTATTTTCATTTTATTTTATCTCATTTAATATATAATGATAAAGTTTAATAAAAATGTAATTATTATTTCAATATATAGTTATCTTCTTTATATTATGTTATTTTATTTTAATTATTATATATAAATTCTTTAATATAAAAACAGAGATAAAAAAAAAAGAAATATTAAAAATAAGCAATAATGAAAATATTTTAATTTTTTTCTTTTTTACAGAAAATTAAAATTATTTCTAAAAAATTCTTTATTTATTAATGAATAAAATATATGCTAATATTTCTGTTCTTTACATATATAAGTTATATTTGCAAAATATAATTCTATAAATATTTTTTAATTTATATTTGTATGCTAGATTTTTTATGCATAAAAGATTTTTTTAATTTTTTATTTTTTAATTTTTTATTATATAAGATTTTGATAATACTATACAAACGAGAATAGGTTTAGAATAGGTTTAATATATTACAATTTTTTTCTCATATCTCTGGAATATCTAATATTTTTTTATATTAAAAATTATATTAAAAATTATATTAAAAATTCAATATTTTTATATTAGAGATTAAGACAAATACATTGTAATTTTGAAAAAGAAATAAAAAATATTCGATTAATATTTTGTACATCTTTAAAAAGTGAGAAAAAAAGTTAAAAATTTTATTGTGCAATCAACGTTATCTCTAGAATGTTGTAGAAAAATAAATGAGAGCAAATAATGAAAAAAAAGGTAGAATAAGAATTGATAGGCAATGCCATCTTGAGTATAAAAGGTATTTTTCTGTTAAAATGTATTTTCAAAATTATTCAAAAGATGACACTTAAATCTTATTCTATCTTATCATAAAAAATGTCTTTAATATTATTATTTAATAAAGAGATGGCACTACAATTTAATTCTTATTTTATTTCTATCTTTGTTGTACTATTTACTTTTCTTATTTATATATGTTTGATGACGGAATCCTAGAGATGGCGCTAATTGTACAATTTTTGTTTTACTCTGTATCTTGCTCTTATCATTTGCTCTTCTATTTTTTTTTAGAAAAATACGCTCAAAAGATAGCTCCGATATCTGATTAATTTTATTATTTTTCTTATCTAAATATAATGATTAAAAGTCTTAATAGAATTTCGATGCAATTTTTAAATAGATTTAATATTTATCTATTTATATATTTTAAATATCTATTTATCTATTTATCTATTTATATATTTTAAATAGATATTTTAGAACATACAATATGATAGGATATAAAGTCCCATTAAATCCTGTATTTCTGTGATAATATCTCATTCTAATCAATGATTTTATAATCTAATTTGGAATTTAATGATTGCAAAACTTGAATCTAGAATTGGCAGTAAGGTATAAAAAATTAATTTTAACATATATTAAATATAGTTAATAAAACAATTTTTGTTTCTTATATAAACCATTTTTAAACCCTATGTATATACATATATGATTGTTCATTATTCATTTGAATCTTAATTAACTCCATACATTTGGAAGATCTGAAATACAAAAAGTTTTCAAATTTTCTTTCATCCTGGATATCTAAAACTTCATATAAATTTTCTTTTCATATAATATACTTACTGAATAAGATGTGATATATAGAAATAAGATAAATTAATACGTGGAATTTTTTGAATATAGATGGTGTCGAATGTGAATAATTGAAAAACAATTCTTCGTCAATTCGTCTTATTTCTGGAATGGTTGCAGTTTTTTTCATCATCCAATCGAAAGCATCCATTCTTAATCTTTTTTTTAATTCTGCACCTATTTCATCTCTAATTCGACGATTATAATTATTCAGCCATCGTATCTATATAAATATTGAAATATATTATTGAAGAAAAATATAAAATTATTATTCAATAAATCTTCTAAATTATTATATTTAAATTTTCCATTTTTTTTCTTTCTTCTTTTTTTAAGAAATAAATATTACTGCAAATTTATCTTTTTTGAGAGAAGAATTTCTTTAATTTTTATGATTTATTTATAATAAATTTTTAATACATTTATTAACAAAAAATTAATTGAAAATAATCAATATACATATACACTATATATACAATTGTAAGAACAGAATCGAATCAAAAACATTATTAATTATGCAATAAATAATTCGAATATCTCAATTTTATCATGATAAAATACTGGTTGAATGCTGAAAAATATTTATAAAAATACTCACATGAGACGGATTTAACATATTATTATCGATCAATTTTGGTTCATATGGAACTAACGTAACATCTCTGAATTTCAAAAATATTTCTGAGCCTTTCTAAAAAAAAAAAAAAAAAAAAAGAAAGATATATTTTTTACCAAGAATATATTTCTCAAATTTTTAATCAATATCAATTGATTTGATTGACCTACTGACTTTGCCTGCCACCACTGTTTCAAGGACATTCTCCAAACGTATACCAAAATCGCCTTGTTTGTAATAACCAGGTTCATTCGACAAAAAAAATCCTGGTTTTAATTCAATAGGTCCGCAAACTTTATCTGATGTTGTATCTGATGTTGTAACATGTGCATATGATATACCAATAGGTGCTAAAAATATGAATACTATAATTAGTATGAATTAATAATAAATATTCGAGAAATATTGCAAGAAATATATTTTTTACAAAATTCTAAATTCAATTTTTGACTTAATTAATTGTAAGTATCTTTTTTGTTCTCTCTTATTTCTTTTTAAATTTCAAAGATATTTATACAGAAATTAATATCTCTTTGATTATTTTAATCATTGTAATAATCATCATTGGTCAAATAGAAAAAGCGCGATTCAAGTATATTTAAATCGTATAATTTGAATCGTACGATTAATCATCTATGAAATTGAATCTTTAATTTTTTCAAAGTAATGAGACAAACATTCGTGGACAGACAGAAAGTGACCGATCCCATGGCCAGTTCCGTGTAAATAGTCGTAACCGATGTTCCATAATGGCTCTCTTGCGACGATGTCCAATTGATTAGATTTTAAATTGCTTGGAAATATTAAAGAGGACAATTGTATTGCGCCGATCAACACTCTTGTATACGCTTTTTTTTGTTCTTCCGTTGGTGTACCAAAATGAAGAGTTCTTGTCACATCGGTGGTTCCGTCTAAGAAAAGAAAAAAAAAAAAAAAAAAAAATATTAGAAAATATTAAAATTCAAGGATCCTAGATTATTTTCGTGCATAATATATTATAGAAAATAAACGAAGATAGTAAGGAAAGGAAAGGAAACGGTATAATTAATTAACCTAATTGTACGGTGTATAAAGTAAATAATTTAACCTAAATATTGTCCTCCTGAATCCACTACCAAGGTGGACGTTCTTCCAATTTTAATATTTGTCAAATTGTTTGGCTCGTAATGGGGAATGGCAGCATGGGGTCCGTATCCAGCGATGGTAGGGAAGGAGATGCCTTTATTCTTCTCCTGTTCATAACGAAACTCGTTCGCCAATCTGGCTACCTGCATCTCATCCCAACCATCTGAATTCAACTCGTATTGCCACTCCATGTATGCGAGGAAATCGCACATTGCTACAGCATCCCTTAAATGGGATCTTCTCATTCCTTCTGCCTCGATTTCATTCTTTTGGGCTCGCAAGCTTAACACCGGCGATGGTTTTGGTAACCGTTTCTCCGGAGGAATCTGAAGAAGAATCATAATGTCTTTTTTTAAAACATTTTTTTTAATTCGTTGAAAAAAAAATATTGGAATATTCGAAGATTGTGGCAAAGTTAACTTAATGTTGTATAGGTTAATTAATATATTCGTAGAATATCTTGAGGTATCTAAGAGAGGAGATATAAAAGTTATTTATTAAATTGCAAGCATTTAAATTAATAAATAACCATCAATCGACAATATTTTTGTATACCAATATTTTTTTTATTCATTTTTGCCTCTAGAATTGAACTTCCATGAATATATAATATTTTTTTGTAAACGAACATCTCGTTTATTCAATGTATTATTACTATAAGATTTTAAAATAATAATTTTTACGATAATCCGCTCTTTGCATATAAAAAATCATATCAAAATTCTGGTAAAAAATTAATCAATGCCTATTAATCGAATACTATTGCAAGATCACTTGTATATTTAGAATGGGAAGAAAACTGCTCCCTGATTTCTGATGCCGCGGGCGTCCAGGCGTCTCGAAGCACCGGCTATCATGTTGAGAAGAAGGTGAAACCGTTCACCACCATGTGGATCGTGAAAATAGCGTGTTATACACACCGTTTCATCTTATTATTTATTCACGATACCACTTCTATGTCTCGATGATATTCGATAACAAGAACATGTGGAATGGACGATGGAGATGGAGGAAATGTTTAGTCTACGTCTATGAACGTGTGTCAGTTTGTCACGTGGGGATCAAGCTAAGCTCAACAAGCTCTATGGAGATAGGAGAACATGTTAGAGAAGGTGTACTTTCGCCTAGGATTATCCGCTCTAATACGCGTATACTTGGGCTTCGATAAAATGGCGGGAATTATGGAGTTCTATTGAATACACGGTTATTAATTTTAATCTTTTTTCATTTCAATAAATGTCAATATATTTTATATATCGATGATTAAAAATTTTCGAGCGAGTGAAAAAAAGAATAAATTTTATCAAAGTTTTTTTTTAATCGGCTACGAATTATTTAGACTATTTTATCGTCTGAAATAAGAAATAAGAATTTGATAATTTCAAGCTAGATAATTAATTAAATTTATACGTACAGAGTTAAATATCTCCATAGAAGCACCTGGACTATAACCACATCTTGTTGGCAACCATACTGAATTCCAAGCTTGAGACATTGTCCGTAAATCGTACCAAATAGAAGTGTAATTATGCCATCTGCAACATATATATACGTATATTAATATAATTATAAAAATATCAATTAAAAAATTTTGACTATACTATGAATATATTGTGCATTCAAAATTAATAAACATTCGAATTCTTTCTTTACCAAAGAATGAAATTCTTTCTATAAATATTTTTAAATATCATTATTGTACTCACTTCACGCAATTTGCATGCGAACAAAAATCCATCTTCAAGTGCTCCTCCACCGATCGTAAAATCTTGTGTCGCGGTGTGTATAGATGTATCGATTCACCAGTAATTATGGTATACGCTCTGAGAACAGGGGTGTGTGGCAAATCGTATCCGCGAACATTGAACAACCAGGCTATCTCATCAAGTGCCGTGAGGACCAGGGCGTTTGCCTTAGATATCTCCATTTCGATTCGAATCGACTGAATCTTGTCCTGCCATGCTCTTCCGGAATATTTGTCCGGTAATGGATACGCCGGATGTGGATTGTAATTCGGTCGATTGACCTGCCAGATTAAGTCCACCAGGTTGTTACGGACAGGAACCAATCTTATGGACGAATTTGCTGGACACGAACGCTATTGTTAATTCGAAAGCAATCTCGTTTGGGATTGAGGCAAATTTTGGATGAAAACTATGAATGAAAGAGATTGTGTTAATCGTTATAAGAAATATGTTGTAAATGATAAATGGTGAAATTGCGTATATAAATTTAAAGTAGATGATTAGTTAAATGTTTTGCGATACATTTTATTACCTAATTCATCTTCCCAGATTTCCCAATCAATGGCAGATACGAGTGTTGGATCGGCGCCAATACGTACAAGAGCTTGATTGTGAAATTCATGTATCAACCATTCAGTTATAGAAGGAACCTGCAATTCCATTTTATTTTCATGTCATATTATTCATAAATTTTTTATATGAAAAAGAATCAATAAAAACTAATTATATCGTAAGTGTCATTAATTTATAATTTGATAAGGTATTAATGAACATTTATTATTTTATATAATTTTTTTATTAATAATAATATTAAATTTATTTTTGAATGTATTTATATTTAACATTTTAAAAACAAACCACTCAGAAAGCCCCTCTCCCATCCCCCTCATACTAAGTACAAGGGGTGAACGATCATCGATAACTGAGAAATCGAAGCAAAGTCGATTTCTCGAGTTCTCCTCACGCTCAGGGAGAGGTGCTATGCCTCCTCATCGTGGCTGCATCAACTCTACGTTAGGGCAGAGCTTTGAGAAGATCTACTACAGAAATGATCCTGTGAAGTACGATCTTAGTTTTTCGCTTCTATTGCAGCCTTTATATTGTACTTACTACTCAATCTCAACTGTGAGAAAGTGTTTAACTAGTTAGCCATCTAGCGGTATAATTTTGAAATAACCGGTTGCGCATGGAGTCACGTGTAAGTATATATAGTACGTATACAATAAGTATATATAGTATATGTATACTTATATCTCTTAAGAATAATTGCTATTATGCAAAATAATTATTAATTTTATTTTATTAATATTATAATTAATAGAAAAGATTATTTATATTTATAATTGATTAAAATTTATTAGTTTTAACTAATAATATTAGTTTTCAAATATGTATTAATATAATTTTGATATTTTAGATTAAAATAATTTTATTTATTTCAAAATTAAATAATAATATAAAATGCAGTAATAATTTTTCAAATAATTTTCAAATTCAAATAAAATTTTAATCAAAGGAAATCGAATTATATTATATTTCATATTATATTTTTTTTGTAATAGAGATATAATTAGTCATTCTATTATTTTAAATTTTTGAATACATATATTGAACTTACATCTTCTCTACCACGTTTCATGAGTATCCAATTGCAATCAAGCTGGTGATCTGCTTGAATATAATATCTTCCATCAGTCCAGAACACAGCCTTGTTCAAAGTGACAACAGCTTCTCCAGCACTTCCATAGAATCCAGTGATGAATTCTCTTCTCATATCACGAGGATCTAAAGAATCACTCTATCCAAAACAGACATTGCGATTTAATCTTATATATTCGGTATAATATTGAATTAAAATATTACAAAACACATGGTCGCTAATAAAAGAAGAACAGCACTCATGATTAAAAAATCACTCGAAATTAAATAAAGCTTCGATAATATCTGGGACATTTTAAAAAGAATAAATCTAAATACTTATTTATTAATCCTAAAAAATATTATTAAATAATATTTTTATTAATATTAATATTAATATAATATTCTCATTTTTATAATATTATTTATTACATTTATTATAAATATTTGAATTTTAAGATTAAATTAGTATTGAGATTATGAAAAGCTTTGAAATTATGCAAATTCAAAATTTCACACGAAATTGCTATACCTCTAAAGGGCCCTGGCGGCCATGATAAATCAAGTTCATTGTCTGAAAATTGAAAGATATCCAGGAAAGAATTGTAGAAATAATATTATAACAATTTGCAAACATAAAATTTTAAGTTCAAGATTTTTATATATAATAATAAATTTTGTTGAATATTTTATATTTCATATAATAAATATAAATATATTAATCATTCTTAATATATATATAATATTCACCTGATGTGCGTCATCGGAAGTGACTATATATCCATCAAGAGGTGGTCCTTGAATGGAAGCGACCCGAGTCATTTCCGATCTTAATTGTCTCAATCTTAATGATGTATCTTGTCTATTGGCTGGTTGTTTGTGTATAATTGCTGGACAATGGGATCTTTTTGCTCCGTTATAATTCAAAAGTGGCTCGACGATTTCGTTTTGAAAATGGTACGCCTTTGTCAAGCCTAATTATAAATTAAGATTTTTTATTAAAACAAATTTTCTTTTAAATAAATGATTTTTAATGATAATATATTAATATTAATATATTAATATAATATATTAAACTGATGATACATTAAAAAGAAAATTGATGAAAAATTAAATTAATATATTAATATTTTACTTAAAATATTTACTATGAAGTTTTTATTATTTAAATAATAAAAAATAAGTTTAAGAATATTAAGTTTTTATTATTTAAATAATAAAAAATAAGTGTAAGAATATTACTTCTCTGGAGGCGCCGGGTATCGATCCCGGTACCTCTCGCATGCTAAGCGAGCGCTCTACCATCTGAGCTACGCCCCCGATATGAAAGGTGTGTTAAGGATATTGTATAGTAGTGTATAATATTTCATAATTATATATATGATAAAAATTTAAGAATAACTTCATTAAATGCATTTATTATATCTATTTATATATTAAATTTTATAAAAGTATATTTTAAGTATATATTTTATATATATATTTTAATATATATTATTTAAGAATACTATTTTTTTAAATCATAAATTATCCAATTTTGTTCAATTTGCGGAAAATGCTTGATATATTTAATTTAATTTATAAAACCAAAAATTACTTTATTATTTTAAGAATTGATCAATTTAATTTTTCATCAATTTTTTTTTTAATGTATCATCAGTTTAATTCTATTCAATAAACTAAGAATAAGATTATATTTAAATAAACTAATATTTCCATCTCTTTTTTCAAAATTTAAACAAAGTAGAATTTATCATATCTTTTATTTCCTTATTTCCATATAATTATTTCCATATATTCAACAATTTACAACAGAGTATTCAATAATTCAATATTCTTGAGTTTTCCTCAATTCACAGAGAAACCTGTATTTAAAGATAACCTGTATAAAAATAGACACTAATGCCCGTGGAATGACACACGCATGTCCTGTGGGAATCCAGAGGGTGTGCTGAGTGGTGCTTATATAACAGGAATGCAGTTTATTCGAAGAGGTCAGCCATTCCGAAATCTACGTTTCGATCAACATCGACCTTAACATTTTATGGTAATAATATTATAATTTCACACGATTTCCTTACGATAATCGTATCTACCGACGATTTTTGATCGACGACTGAATATATTTCCAAACGTCAAGTCATACTTTGTAGTACATACCACGATTACTTAATTTGGGGGAAAATCGATACGATGTAAATGATACAAGAACAAGGAATCTTTTTGTTATAACTATATAACGTGCAAGGGAGTAACCAGGTTACCAAATTGTTTAATTTAATAATTTAACGTAAATATCAAGTAATATTAAATATGTTACTAGGAAAGTAGGAACGTCTAGTAGGTGAGTTTGTAACTTTACAATTTTCACCCCCGCGAGTTTTCCATCCTGTTCTCCAACAATAAACGTTCCGCATTATCGTGATTTTCCTCCATTTCATGAATAAATGTTCCCCATGTTCATCCTTCCTTCTCTCTGGTTGCATATCTTTTTATCTTAATGATAAGTTACGAATGAAATTATTATGTGTCATTCACGTATATGATCTTCATCGTAATGTTCGAGTATTTATGTAAGCATCGAAATTGTAATTCTATGTATTAAGAACGAATCGTATGATAAACTTTTTGAAATGAAACACGAACGATAATGATACAAAATTAATTTCATTTTTGTGTCATATTTTGTATAATCGATATTTTTATAGAACTAATAAAGTTTTTAATAATGATTGTATTTATAACGAAATTATTAAATAAGATTATTTAATTATTAACTTTTATTTAGAAAGAAAATTACATGTATTCAATTATTTTCATAATAATATTTTAATTTTAAGTTTTAATATAAAAAATTATACATATAAAAAATTACACGACACTTTTTATGATAATAATTATTATTCTATTTAAGAGAAAATTATATAATAACTGATTCAAAGATTATGGAGGAATTTTAAAAAATAATTTTGAAGATCATAAAAAAAAAAATATGAAATATTGCTCATGTTTTCGAGCATTCTTTTGCTAATAATACTTCTAAAAACGTAATAATACCTCTATGCTAGCGTAACTGATTGCAAATCCATTACGACGTAATGAGAATGCACTTGAAAACAAATATTTTAGCCACGACATATAGACTCGTCGTTCATTTCATCTTGATAATTCCGGAAACGTTTTCGTTCATCAACAATAGAGGATGATTTGTCAATTATCAGGATATCCGATATTTAGCTATGAAAAATCATCGTCATAAGATTATTACGTACGATGGAAAAATCGTCTCACGGAATTCTGAAAAATCATCCATATTTGTTTTACGATTACGATCACGTTTTTCGATTATATAATCTATTTTTCCGCATTCTGTTTTTTTTTTTTTTTAGACAATGCGCATCGTCACAGCGCGCATCTTTATATATAAAATCTCATATATATAAAATCACGTTATATGTAGCAGTCGAAGTTTAAAATGTGGCTGCCCAAGTTCCTGTTTTATGGATTTGCGGTTGTTTGGGTTTGTGCCGAGGAAGATGTACAATTGAAGATTCCTCAGGGTTCATTGAAAGGTTTGAAGACCGAAACAGTTTTTCACAACAAGCCGTATTACAGTTTTAAGGGTATCCCCTATGCGAAACCGAATGTCGGTTCGGACAAGTTTCAGGTAAGTGGAGATATTTAATTAATTTTATAATTAATTTTAAAACGATAAAACGATCTTGATGTCAATTTCACGATAAATTCTTCTAATAATTCTTCGAATAATTAAAATAATTACACAAGAAATGGGAAGAAATTAATTAAAATTTAATATCTTGATTAACAATATCTTTATAATTTTCAGATATCAGAACCAGCTGAACCATGGGAAGACGTGTACGATGCAACCATGCATCGTTCTGCTTGCCCATTCTATTGCATAATCAAAAAGGGTATAATCGGTGATGAGGATTGTCTCTATCTGAATATTTATACTCCAGTTTTGGACAAAGAAGCGCGTAAAGCTGTTATGATATGGATTTATCCCGGTGGTTGGAACAGTGGCATGGGGGATGATATCTTGTTTGGTCCAGATTTCTTGGTGGAGAAAGACGTGGTGCTTGTTACATTTAACTTCAGACACGGGGCACTTGGTGAGTACACGTGTGATTTCGATTTAAGGAACTAAATAAGGAATATATTATTGAAAATTGATATTCATAAATTATTGTTTGTCTTTTTCATCGTAGGATTTTTGAACACCGAAGATAAAAGCGCTCCCGGAAATGCTGGTATGAAGGATCAAGTGTTGGCGTTGAAATGGGTGAAGGATAATATACATTACTTTGGCGGTTGTCCCAACAGAGTAACTATTTTTGGTGATAGTTCAGGTGGTGCTTCTGTTCAGTATCACATGTTATCTCCCATGTCTGAAGGTATATTTATCAAAGTGCACTGATTTAAAATTACAAAAAAACAATTACAAAAATTATTATATATATTTTTTTTTTCTTAGAAATGAAATATAATAATAATATTAAAATTGAATTTTAATTATATTTTAGGTTTGTTCAACGCTGTCATACAGCAAAGTGGGACAGTGCTTAATCCATGGGCGATAACTTACAATCCAAGAGAACAAGCCTTTATGTTGGGTGAAGCTTTGGGGATAAAAACTACAGATTCTAAGGAATTAGTCGAAAAATTGAGCGAGTTCCATGTTAAAGATATCATTGCAGCAAGTGGCGAAATAATGAAGAAACAGGTAAAGTATCCAAGATAAGGAAACATTGAATTTCTTCTGTATTCTTCCTTCTGATCTTTTTGTATTTTGGGCAATCAAATTTTCCATATTTATGAAAATAAGGGAAAAACGAACGAGAATAAATTATTATTGTAATTTTTACATGGAAAGTTTGATATTTATAATTATAGAACGTATTATCTGGGCATATGAATGCTTTCGTTCCATCCATTGAAGTCGATCTGGGACAAGATATATTCCTCCCGACTGATCCTTGGACCCTGTTAAAATCTGGAAGAATTGCAGATGTGCCCGTGATGTCTGGAATTACGGCCGATGAATGTGCATTTATGGCACAAAGTATGTGACATATTATTATTTCTCAACGAATCGTATTATAAATTATGTATTGTCAACAAATTATCTAATTAATATCATCATCTTAAATATCATCTTCATAAATTTACTAACTTATATTTATTTTTCAAAATGTTAAGTACCATTTGAATGTTGCAGATATGATAGATAGAATCGAAGTATTAAACACGGAACCGGAGCAATTTTTGCCAGACGATTTGAATTACACTGATTCGAATACGAAGAAGGAAAGTGGACAATGTTTGAAAAAATTCTATTTTGGGGAGAAGCAAGTGTCGAAAGATAATTTGAACGAATATATCAGGGTAATTATAATTTGTCGAATAGAAAAATGTTTCTATTTTTTAAACATTCTTTTATGTTTTATAGATGTTGAGCGATATTTTCTTCGATGCTGGAGAGCTATTATCGCTCGATATCATGAAAAATCGAATTTCGTCTCCTATTTATGAATATCTGTTCTCTTATGAAGCGCCGACTGGTTTTATGAAAAGTTTATTTGGTGTTAGCGATGGTAAGTTTTCTTCTTCTAATGAAATTATGTAAAATTATGTAAATTCTATTTATTTTTTAAAACATTTTCAATTTGTCCAAACAGGAGTTGCACATGCCGATGATGTGGGTTACTTATTTTATTCCAATGTTTTCAAGAATTTACCTGAACCAGATTCCTCAGCAGAGAAGATGATAAATATTATGACCAAAATGTGGACAAATTTTGCAAAGGATGGGTCAGTAATATTATTTTTTATATCAAATATCCTTAATCTGACTGTATATTAAACAATTTTTGTTATAAATATAAATATAAAATATATTTTTTATATTTATTATTAGAAATCCAACATCGGTATTAGACGAAGATGTGACAGTGAATTGGGAGCCAATGGGAAGTGATAATAATTATCTTAACATCAACGAAGAACCAAAGCTAGAGAAAAATCTAATGAGTGATAAATTCGATTATTGGAAAGAGAAATATAAAAATGCCATGCCATAAATTCTTTAATATCTCTATCAATTTCTCTATTCGAATTAAACAAATAGATATCTACGTGCAATAAAATAATAACTGTAATTTAATTATCATATAATACAATCTTATCAATATAAGAATACGACTTATATTGCATAATATTTTAATATTCTTCTTTTTTTACATTTCCATTATTATTCTTATTATTAAAAATAATAAATAAATTAATAAAAAACAAACAATTATCGAAAATTAATAAATAATAAAAAAAATTGTCAAGTTTTTGAAAAAAAGAAAGAGAATGGAAAAAATTGAAAAAGGGAGAACGTCTACTATCTTCTTCAATATGTGTCGCTTCAACACAACTTTAAACTCACTATGCTAATACCAACACCAAACTTTTAAACGTTTCCAGGCCACTAGAATCGTTATCAAACTACTTTCCTACTTTCCATTCACCGAGCACCATTCTGTTCTTCTCGTCTCGCCTCATTCTTGCCTATTGGTTCACCACTCGTATTCCTGTCCTGTAGATATCAGGATCCCATATTCTAGTAGGAACGTTTAGTCACCTCGCTCGTTTACGAATCAATCTTCGGATTGAATCTCGGATTACAAAGACGTACTATCACTGTTATTGGAAAATCCACGTAGAAATCGATATAAAAGAGAAAATTATCAAAGATATTACACTCGACATGGACGAAATAATCTTTTCTCAATATTTTCACATTAATAAAGAGAGAAATAAAAAAAAAAAGAATTAGAAGAATATTATAAAAGGAAGGAAAAAAAAAGGGAAGCAAAGGTAAAGAAGAGTAAAATAACGAATAATAATGTATTATTAATAAATATAAGGATAAATGAAACGATAAAAGATAATAATAAAGAGAGTTTAAAACGATAATTATAAAGAAATAGAAATGAGAGAGAGAAAAAGCGATGAGTATTAATTAAAGAAGAGAGAGATAATGTGTGATAAAAAGATAAAAAAATAAGGGTGAAAACGAGAAATTGATGCTCGACAGAGAAAGAAAAAGATATTAAAGAGATAGAAGAGAAAGAAAATGATAGAAAAAAAGTTAAATGGCGGAGGATGATAAAATGGAGTGACCTCTGTGAAGTGGCCATCGCCATTTGTTTTCTTGGTCGTTACCACGTTGCCGTCGTTCGTCTACCATTTGTTCACCACTCACTTTTGTGCTTCTCTTGTAACAGAGTTGTATGAAAGCAAGGAGTTGTTTGACCTCGGCCCATGTGCACGTGTAAGTGAATACGCGCGTGCGTATCGTAGCGTAAACGATTTCATTCATTCATATGTCACGAGTCATCAGTTGGTGAAGAGAATATGAAACGAGAATTGATCATGCATAAATATACATTGATTATACACATACGTGCATATACTTTACATACAAATGATGAATAATACTTTTCTTAATTATACTTAGTTATTTATTTCGCATAAATTTAACTTTATTTGAATACAAGAATGAGAAAGAATTATTCTTTTTTTAAATCGATATTAAAATTTTCGTATTATTTATCCGACATAAAGATAGTAAGAAAATTGTACATATTTTCTGTATTTGTATTAATTTTTTTACGATGGAAATTACATTTATTAAATGTTTTAGATTAAACATTATCGAGATGGTTAATTATATTATAAAATTTCTTTGCTACGATTATAGATGAACCATTTAATTGTAAATGTTATTATTAATTGAAATGATAAATTTTAATCGGTGTGGTTACGTTAAGAAGATAAAAAGAACTTGGAAGAACGTGTCTTAATACTTAAATTTACGCGCCAATTCCCATCGCTCGAATCATTCGATTTTATCGATGGACGAGGAGGAATCGAATGACCTCGAGACTGCGAGAACAGATAAATGATCGAGATTCTGCGACAGTGGACCGTTTCTCGAGATGATCTTCAACATCTGTTGATCCGGCTATCATGTAAGGATAGCTGGTATTTATTTCATCTTATACAATCTCTGGACCAATTTGATTGCTCGAGCTTGGCCACTTCTTCTTTGCTCACTCTCCAATTTCTTATTTCTCGAATCCAGTATAGGAAAAAATCAATTACAATTCGAAAAATGGAGCATTTTTTAATGAATGGACAAATGAAAAAGGTATTTTATAAAATAACTAATTAAAATATTTCAATAAATCTGTCTTATAAAATATAATCTATCTCATACATATAAATTATTTATACGTATTTATATGTATTATATGTATATTTATGTTATATTGTTTCTTAATTTATTCATTTTGTGTATATAATTTTGTATTATTTAATGGTAAATTTATGACGTGTGCAATTTTTTGTGATATAGATTTAAAAACAATTACTTAGATTGCTTTATGTATACAGATATATACAGATAATAAGAAATTAAAGAATAAATATTTCATATAATGACAAATAATTGTAAATTTAATAAGATGAGCTAAAATTCTTAAGACCATGATAGAGAAAGAAATAATAATTTATATATAAAATATGGAATTCAATTATTTTTATCTTTTTTAAAAGTATAATAACAACATAAAAGATATAATTTAAAATAAAATATATATAATAAATATACATAAATAAAATATATAAAAAAATATAATAATTTACAACAAAATGATATGTTAGAATACAAAAATGAAAGTGAAAGAAAAGTAAAATTTTCAAAAGTTAAATAGCCTAATTGAGTTCCTTAGTATTGTTAGGTACTACGATACCCGATAAATCCGTCACTGACGGTGAATGGATGTTGGGATCCTGAATAAAAATATTCAGGTATATATATATGTATATAGAGGATATATTTGATTAAATCACTTTTTATTCCTAAATAAATAAATGTCATTTCCTTTTATTCTTACGAACAAAATTAAAAAGCACAATTCAAAGTAATTGTATTACTCGTATTACTTAATACGATAATTGTGTGAAATTCTATGAATTGAATGAAACTTTCAATTTTTTTTATCTTTAAAATTAATATTTAATATTCAATATATTAACTCATTTGATGTTAAATAAAGTTTATACGCGGGAAGAATTAATCAGTGTTCCTTAAAAGGTTTTATAGCGTTAGGTATCATCACTGGTAACCATTTTCTTGTTGAGGAATAACTGTATACATGTACTTATTAATGCTAACCGTACTAAGTGATGCAATTACCGATATAAATAAACTCCAACATTAGAAAACGGGAAATGCAACAAAAAATGCGTTTTCCTTTCCGTGTCAACAGAAACTTCTTGAGGTCGATGTTGTCGCATTTGTTCGTCACTCACTTTCGCGTTTCCATTGTAATAGGATAGCATTTTACTTAAAGAGGTTCACAGATAGTTATAGTAATTCAAGCTGTATAACTTCTTACTTTACCTATATCTATCTTACATACACATAAATCTGTCCTATCGTTACACTTTTATCATTTATTCTTGAGATACTTGAATACACAAATCGATCGAATTAAATTCCCATTTAATTTTTCTACCCGATATTCTTTATTCTGCATCTCGATTTAATATTGTACTTTTTGCATTTTCCGTAATCTATACACTGCATTGATAATTTTTAAATAAAACTTTGACGTGTATAGGGCAAACTATATTAATTATTTTAACCCAAAGAATTGTATTAATTGTTCAAAAGAGATCTTATTAATATCTTCGTGTCAATTTATCGTAAGTAAAACAATCATATTATGGAATACATAGATAATAATCTACAATATTCATAAGAATATTTAATATTAAATTCCCTATATAATTTTACGACATAAGAATTATGAAAAATTCAATTCTCTTAAATAATCGAAAGAAAGGATCAGCCTTTTTCTACGATACATCTGAAGAAAAATTATCTGGTAATCTCGAATAGTTCTCGAATCGCGCCACAGTCACGAGTCCGTTTCATCGCATTCGAATCGCGCGTCGAGATGATCTTTAGCTTCTACGTATCAGGTATTCATGATGCAAAGCGATCTTTTCATCTCATCCGTGGCTGGACCACGGTTCTCTCCGTATCCTCTGACTTCTTGTTCCACGTTTCGTCCACGCTACCTCCACCATTTCATTATCCCTGCGGCCTCTTCGTGCTCGTTCCTCGTTCGTTCGAGATGCGCAGAGAGCGCTCGTCTTGTACTCATGCGGTCTTGTTCGATCGTTTTCCCCTCAAGAAAACGGGCAACCGTTTCTCCTGTCGTTGTCTGTCGCGTTGTCTTATCAGATCGACGAGCTCGTCGGCAGACGAAAGAAGGAATGTTGGATCAGCGACTTATGCGATCGAGAAAGTGTCGACGCGAAAAATTCCTCGGTATCCCCTTTTGTTTCGACCGTAGCAGGGACGTATATTGGTTTCGCGGTCGAACAGGCTTCGATTTGGGATGGCTCGAGGCTTTTTACAACAGGAGAGTAGAAGAATTGGAGGGTTGGAGTCTCGAAGGGTTGTTTTTTTTGATAAGGATTCTTTTTATCTTTTGTTTCTTCGAGCTTCAAATTGTTATCGAGAAAGAATTCGTCTTCGCACAATGGAATTGCATACTGGTCGAAAGGAACGTTTGTCAAGACTCAGGTATTACAGTGAATAAAAGATGTATACCCTAATTTTTTCGCTTTAAATTTATATGGATAAAAATTACTTCGATCTAGTAATCTAGTAATCTAATAGATATAATGTGCAAATTAAAAATTTTTAATATCCCATTAAATAATTATTTAACTTTTAATTTAACAATTATCTCTTCAAGTTTCGTGAAATCTTTCGATTATACATAATCATTAGGAATCTTTAATTTATCTATCCAGTAAGAGGATATTGGATGTGTACAAAGAATAAATAATAATAAATAATAAACTGCATAATCTACGAAAAATTGTAATCAATAAGATATATAAAATGAACTAACAGATAGCAATTTATCGTATCCATATAATTATTAGAAGATTATTATCCTCTATTTACTATCTTCATATCATACGAAGACAAAGCAGCAATCTCAAAAAACACATTTATATTCTCACATTACTATCTATTATTACAACTACTATTTAATCTCGATCACCATTACCT